AATTAAACAATTATTATTTTTATTTATGCCAAGCTCTCCCAAGTTTTCTCTTCCTTCGAAGGTGCTCGTTTACGCCATTTGTGTTAATCGGCCCGGCTATAATCTTAAAAATGTTGGATGAAGAGAAAATATATAGATAAAAGATAAGGCGTAAAGATAAAATATGAAGCTTTCCATTTTGCATTTCTTTCCACCCTCTTCTTACTCAATCTCTCTCTATGTCCGCATATTCTCCTCAGCACTTTGCTCTCAGATATCGTCTTTCCTTTGGGTGAGGAGGCAAGTCTTGCACATGAACACGAAAGGACGATGTAATTCTTGTACGCTTTAATTTCTAGGTTTTTCTAGGATATGGGCACATAACAGAATTCGTATCTTTGAAAACATTTTAACCAAATTTAATCTCTTCGTCATTCCATCATGAACAAATTTGTACTTGTTCTTGTCGATACCAAGTGCTTATCTATGAGTATGTATGCGTACGTACGTACGTACGCAGGCATTTGTATCGGTTTCTTAACCCTTTGAAGCCGAAGCTCGTCTTCATAATATTTACGAATCCAGACCGTACCGCGAAGAAAACACTACACCTCACCATTACGAAAATCAGCTGGTTAACCCTTATGAAGCCGAAGCTCGTCTTCATAATATTTACGAATCCAGACCGTACCGCGAAGAAAACACTACACCTCACCATTACGAAAATCAGCTGGTTAACCCTTATGAAGCCGAAGCTCGTCTTCATAATATTTACGAATCCAGACCGTACCGCGAAGAAAACACTACACCTCACCATTACGAAAATCAGCTGGTTAACCCTTATGAAGCCGAAGCTCGTCTTCATAATATTTACGAATCCAGACCGTACCGCGAAGAAAACACTACACCTCACCATTACGAAAATCAGCTGGTTAACCCTTATGAAGCCGAAGCTCGTCTTCATAATATTTACGAATTCAGACCGTACCGCGAAGAAAACACTTCACTTAACCATTAGAAGTCGAATCAGGCGGTACCACATAAGATTTAACAAATGAACATCCCGGTCAAAGCCTTAACACCACTGACGTCTTTCTATTCGCAGTCGCCGTTCTTGTCTATGTGACTCTGGGCCTTTCTATGAACAAGTCCGGTTTAATATAGAGACGGAAATTGAAACCAACGGTTTCATCTGTTCCGAACTTAAACCGCAGTGACGTTTTGGACGATCTGTTAGCAGCTGACTCCACGTCAGTTCGCAGCTGCTAGTGCCTAGGGGGATGGGCGATGTCCCACACCCAGCTCTCCAGGGCATGTCTCTGCGACCAGATAGCGAACAGCTACCGGGAGGATATACGAGTATGTCATGGGCCTGCTGGGACTCGGGGGCTGCTTGTTCAGACCAATTTAAAAATGATAACATAAAAAAAATTAGTGACTTATTACGTTATTATTATCGTAAGAAGGACAAAGGATGTTGCTGTTGAATGGTTAACACTTTTATTTCAAATTAGTGAAGTCAGGGATTAAAGTTTCAGCCTTCTTGATGAGTTCCTTTGTTAATTTATCAATCCCTATAGGCAAGTTATTGGATCGTAACTTAAAATAGACCACGATCAATTTTTATACGTACTTATTCATCAGTGACAGTCATATGACCGTCATAAACTCCATGGAACATAGTTCTTGTCGATGAGCTGATGGTAGATCAGTTGACTAAGAAATTTAAATTTTTTCATGAACTACGAATATTTATTGCCATGCTCATGGACTCTTATCCTGATCCAAATGAACCCGCTCTCTCATCTTCACACCCCACGTCTTTACCCAGAAAATAAAAGAACTTAAATTACTATTTGTGGCTTTTCAATAATAGCTATTACACGTTGCCTCCGAAATATACTAGCAGACGATATTTATGCTGATACCACCCCAGAAAGAGTAAAATACATTTATACAATAAAATCAGTATTTATTTTTCATGTGAAATATATTCATATTTTATATTAAAAAGCTGAACATGTCAATTAATATTGTTAATTTTAGACAGTAATACCACAAATACAACATTTTACCTGTAGACTGGGATGAGAAAATTAGGCAATACAGCGGGAAACCGTATTATATGAGATCCCATTTGCAGTACCACGATTTCACGTATTGTACCACGTACTTGAATCTAACGTTGCGACTCGATATCTGAAGGCGACAGCGAAACTCTTCTTGTGCGTGAGATAAATGTATCGTTATATTTGTGGAAAAAAAAACTATCTTCATTTCGTGTTGACGGACTAGTTGACATTAGTTAGGAATCACTGCGTGGAGACTCAACATCTTCTTCATGGTCTCTGAACGGAGCAGTTGAATATGTGGGCGAAGGATTCCGTGTAGTACAGAGAACATACAGCCGCGTTGTTATCATACGTCATTTCAGCCACTTTGAATTCTGGGTTGATGGATACCTGCCATATTAATAACAGTATCATTAGCAGTGCTTGTTTGTTTACTATAAGTTATTTAACAGCACTATCCCAGCTGTAGAGGTTACATACTCATGAATGTGTTGTTACTTTCCTGGTACCCCCAACATTCAGCTTACCTTGAAGGTGTACATGCCAGGGCTCAGTTCAGAAATATCCACCCACTGACAGTCTATGTTGTGCCGGTAAATGTCAGAGCAGTTAACAGAGATGCCCTGATCGCCAAAGTTCGCGCAGGCGTAAAATGGCGTTACTCCTGGCATGCACTGATTATCTTCCAAACAGAATGACGCCTTGTGTCCTTCTGCAACTCTAACGCCCTTCGAGTCCATTACATCAAACGTTGCAAACACCTCCATACTGTGGTAGTGCCTTTAATGAAACAAGGAAGTGATTTAATTGATTTTCGGGTATGTACTCTCGACACAGCTGCACAATCACTCATTAATGTCATTAAAACAGATAATTAAAATATAAATTTAAAACTTTCCTTCGGTTGTGTGGCCGCGTGGACTTCCAGATATATATAAACTTTCCGTTGGAAAAAAAAATGCCTCCGTTTTAGGAGATATTAGGCCTACGTTCCGCTAAAACGTTGGTGTCTATCTCGTACAAGTCCACACGAAGTAACAACCCAGAAGACCAACATCGACAGCTCAGCTCTGAAGATGGAGATGATTATCTATCTACAAGTCCACACGGCGTTGTAAATCAGAATACTGCTATGGCGTCGTAAAACAACATACTAGCGAAGTGTTTCGGCACCAGCTGCTACATCCAACTTACATGTGGCACTGGTGGAACTCCCATAAGTGTTTCGGAATCATGGGCCTGAAGTCGGCAGTCCCTGCGTTCAGGATGCGAGCTGTGAATCTTAAGAGACGCCTTGTCTCCAGATGCCAGTTGACCGAGTTGTCGCTCTGCAATCTGTAAGCCCCAGAAGCAAGACAGTTCTCCTCCATGGCGCACTGAAGGAAGTAGAGCTGTCGGTCCTCCAGATGTGCCGTTCGCATTATCTCGAGGTGATCAATTACCAGGTCCGCCATTACTGGAACAATAATTTTTTCCTGTATTTTTATCTGTTTCACCAACTACGTGAAGGAAAAGTCGTATCCATCTTCCTGTATATTTCATCTTCGAAAATTTTTGAACGGATTCGATTATTGTTGAATTTGACGTCCTCTGTGAAATTTATCACTAGAATTCAATTTGGGCTCATTTCGATCCAATACTTTGCATAAAACATAGTTTGAATAATCTATACATTGGCTCCCTTTACTGGTATTATTAAAGACGTACAATGGATGTTATGAAGACCTAAACCTTTGAAAAAATGGTCGATATTGGGAATACAACTAAAGTTGTTTTTCAAGCTATGCAGTTGGTATCTATAGTGTGACTAACTTTTCAGCAACAGATTTGTGCCTGGCATATATGAATACCATGGCCAACGAGGTATGAAATATCGCAAAGAACGCGATTGGAAAATACGAGTACTCCAGTGACCGCATCTAATGGGGGATTGGGGACTCATCCTTTAAACTTAAGAAGCCGGAGTATGAAGTTAACCATTCACTTGTGCCAAAGTTAAGAGTGAGTGGAGTGTTACCTCCCTCCAGTCTTGTTTACCTGAAGAACAGACTACGCCTGCTATATTCTCCCGTTTCCCCGGGCAAGAGATCTGTCCAATCTTATCGTGGAGGCAGTGCGACAAGAATTCTTCGTTACCGTGGCATTGAACACCGCTCAGTACCATGGATGAGGCATTGCCTCCGAAGAAATCTGTCTGTATAGCGTCATTGGCGTAGCCAAACCCCAGCTGGCGGCAGACCACCATCGCCTCGAAGATGCTCCATCCGTCCCCGCACACCAAACCCCAGGCTACAGTAACAGAATGACCGCTACATTTAGGGCCTTCACTAATTCGAAAATAATTAAGGAAACAAGGGAATTGTGCAAGAATTTGAGGGAATCGTACTTCGGTCTCAGTACAACTTTCAATTGCGTCAACACTACAGTAATGAATAAGAACATTAATACATTTTATTCATTACTGTTTACAGATCAGTAACAATACCAGTTCATCTTTAATTGAAAGATATTCTAAAATGAAGGAAAATAAAAAAAAGAGTAAAATTAAAATAAATAAAAGAAGATACAAGAAAAGAAATGAAAAGACAAGGGGAACGGAGATAAAGTATATATTTATATGGGCTTATATGTAACATAGCGCCACGGTAGTCTAGCGGTTAGAACGCTGGCCCTGTAATCCTGGGGTCTCGGGTTCGATTCCCGGCGGTGCCCGAATTTATAACTTGTGGTGGGCAAGGCCGTGGTCTAGGCAACACGGAGTTTTCCTCCGTGGCATCCCAACAATTACTCCATTCACACACAGAAGAAGGCAATGGCAAACCACTTCTGGATCATCTGCCAAGAACGTATATGAACAGGTCCCAGTCCGAGAAAAGGATGGAAGGATCCTGTTCATATGGACCTGTCGTCAGACAGAACACTAAATAATAATAATATAATAATAATATGTAACATGTTATCCATTTCTTTTCACATTTGAATTGCATTTTATAACAATAAATTCTACGAGGGACTTATGACCCCAACTTTCCTTAAAATGCTCGACTAGCAGGAACTATAATTTAATAATTAAAACATATATGTGGCTCATTTCTGTGAAACAGACAAATTTACACTTCATTCTGTTTGTAACATAACCTCAAAGTTCCGCATAGTCGCCATGTTTGTAGTGATTAACATACGGAAATGTTTTGTACGCTTATTCGTATATCGCTAGAAAAAAATGTTTTAACTGCTCTTTACATATCGGTACCAACACATAGCTGAAGTGGAAGTGTTTTATATTTTGAAAAACTAAAGAAATTTAATTTTCCGAGGTCCTTGCACACTTTAAAATGTTTATTACAACACAGAATTCAAGGATCATACGTCAAGTATAGCTCTCATACCATAAGTTCGCACGGACACCATGTTGGTGTTATTAGTTACAGGAAATTGAGAATTGCAAACGTTCGATGATCTGTAGTGGTACGTTATTTATACCGAATTTCAGGAAAATACGTCTGTTCACTAGAGAGGGGGCAAACCAGACACAAACAATGACATTTTGATAAGTTTTAAGTTTGCTAATAAAGTAAGGGAATTGCACTGAACATGCGGAGATGATATTCTGTCTATATCAGACCGACATTTAAAAAAAAATTATGTTCGACCCCCAACGTAGGGTAAAGTCTTACAATTTTTCAATTTCAGAGAAAAGAAACTGGATATTTTGAGTTGTCATGTGTCGGAGTATACTGATTTTAAAAGTCTACAAGGTCAATATTGTTTTTCTATAATTACTGCTTTATTTATCTTAAGGAATGGCTGTGAATTTTCTGTTTTCCCACTACAATATGGCTTGCTCGTATATCGTACACTTTTTTCTGTTACAATTCCCGCATATGTGAAGTGCCGGAAGATAAATTAACAAGAACTAGACAGCTCACGTAAACATTATATTCATCCTTGAATATATTTTTACAAGAGCTTCCTGAAAAATATGTTACATAATTCACAGCTTTAACTATGACATACCAAAAACACCCGCCTTCTTTTTCATAAACATGAACATCTCGCGCGAGCCATCTCCACAACATTAAATTCAAGGCGTTAGCTGTCTTCAGACATGCAGAACTGAACGGCACAAACCATGGGCCATAGTTACTTAATGTTTCTTTACAGCCATAAGTATATTTAATGTTGATTCTGTTATTAATATTTTCATTAACCCGAATATTTAACGCTCGCCGTTTGATAGATATACAGATATATCCATTTTAATATTATACCCATATTTTTTTATCCCACGAGGGAAGGATGAGAGAAAAGTATGAACAGAAATGAAAGGAAATAAATAAATAAATAAATAAATAAATAAATATAGAATATTTAAACTCTGAACGTATTCGTAATATTAACTGTGACTGCTGTCGTTTGTAGGTTTTATTTTTGTTTGGTGTTTTAAAAGTGAAGTCTGGAACCGTATTTTAACAAAGGAAACGATTGTCCTGTTAGGAGTCCAACAACTCCTCATTGCAATAAGGCTCTCCAGCACTTCGTTCCATCGCTTAGGTTATGTTTTAACCATTATGAACGAACAGAGGGAAACCTTAAGCAGACGTTCCCCAATTTAATCACCCAGTAAACCCCTTCTTTAAAATTCAGAATATTCTTCTATAAAGGGATAATTAAATATCCCAAAATTTCCTCGTATACGTAATTTCTCTTTCTTTCAGTCTCTCATTTGCGTGGCCCATTTCATAGCTAAACTTCTAATTGGCGTTTCACATTTTAATTTATCTTCTGAAATGAAATGTAGGTAAAACTACTTTTCATTTTCAGCCATTTTTTTTCCTATAGTTAGATTTCTTGAAAACACGGCGTTTTGAAAAAAAACTGCGTTGTGGAAACTGTTGTTTCAATTGGAATTAAGGATGATAATATGATGATAATGTTGCGTCATATTGTGTATTCCCGCATATGTGAAGTGCCGGAAGATAAATTAACAAGAACTAGACAGCTCACGTAAACATTATATTCATCCTTGAATATATTTTTACAAGAGCTTCCTGAAATATATGTTACATAATTCACAGCTTTAACTATGACATACCAAAAACACCCGCCTTCTTTTTCATAAACATGAACATCTCGCGCGAGCCATCTCCACAACATTAAATTCAAGGCGTTAGCTGTCTTCAGACATGCAGAACTGAACGGCACAAACCATGGGCCATAGTTACTTAATGTTTCTTTACAGCCATAAGTATATTTAATGTTGATTCTGTTATTAATATTTTCATTAACCCGAATATTTAACGCTCGCCGTTTGATAGATATACAGATATATCCATTTTAATATTATACCCATATTTTTTTATCCCACGAGGGAAGGATGAGAGAAAAGTATGAACAGAAATGAAAGGAAATAAATAAATAAATAAATAAATAAATA